GCCACATTTTCTTAATCCAGTCTGTCACTGATAGACAGTTGGGTTGTTTCCAAGTCTTTGCTATTGTGAATAGTGCCGCAATAAACATATGTGTGCATGTGTCTTATATGCAGCATGATTTAATAATCCTTTGGTATGATACCCAGTAATGGGATGGCTGGGTCATATGGTACATCTAGTTCTAGATCTTTGAGGAATCGCCATACTGTTTTCCATACTGGTTGAACTAGTTTACAATCCCACCAACAGTGTAAAAGTGTTCCTATTTCTCCACATCCTCTCCAGCACCTGTTGTTCCTGACTTTTTAATGATCGCCATTCTAACTGGTGTGAGATGGTATCTCATTGTGGTTTGATTTGCATTTCTCTAATGGCCAGTGATGAAGAGCATTTTTTCATGTGTCTGTTGGCTGTATGAATGTCTTCTTTTGAGAAATGTCTGTTCATATCCTTTGCCCACTTTTGATGGGGTTGTTGTTTTTTCTTATAAATTTGTTTGAGTTCTTTGTAGATTCGGATATTAGCCCTTTGTCAGATGAGCAGATTGCAAAAATGTTCTCCCATTCTGTAGGTTGCCTGTTCACTCTGATGGTAGTTTCTTTGGCTGTGCAGAAAGCTCTTTAGTTTAATGAGATCCCATTTGCAATTTTGGCTTTTGCTGCTGTTGCTTTTGGTGTTTTAGACATGAAGTCTTTGCCCATGCCTATATGTCCTGGCAATGTAACTACCTGAAGGTTTTCTCTCTAGGATTTTTAATGGTATTAGGTCGATGGGTGCAGCACACCAACATGGCACAAGTATACATATGTAACAAACCTGCACGTTATGCACATGTACCCTAGAACTTAAAGTATAATAATAATAATAATAATAAATAAACAAATAAATAAATTCGTAGAGACACATGAACCACAGGGATCTCAATAAAAATTACTGAAGTTGAAAAAAATAACAACAATCTATTCTTATGGATGAATGCATAGTATATTCTTGTTTTAATTTGCATTTGCTTAATTTTTAATAATGCTGAGCATCTTTACATCATTTATTGGACATTAGTATTTCTTCTTTGTTCAATTCTCAATTTCCTTTACCTACTTATACACGCAATTGTTTGAGTTGATAAAGCCCTTTATAAATTAGGAATATTCATGTTTCATCTAAATGTTTGGTCATATTTTCTCCTAATCTGTGACTTATAACTTCATTATGGTATATTTTAGTGCTTAGAAATTTTTAGCCTTCGTTTTTAATCAAATTATTTATTTCCTTTAGAACTTCTAGGATCTGTGAATTTCTTTCTAACCTGTTATCTAAATTGTCCCAAATTTTCTTTTGGCATTCTTTATATATATTTTTATTTTTGTTCTGAATTGTATTTTTCTTCGTGATATAAGTAGGAATCTTTTTCCGGTAGATATCTAATTCTTTTCATAATTTATTAAATAGACCACTCTAACTAATTTGAATAGAAAAGAAGAGGAGTGGAACAGAATAGAATATAAAAATGAATGTATCCCAGAGCTCAAACTACATTGCCTTAATAAGTGAAGTTTTATTATGTGTTTTGATATCCACTAGGGCCTGATTCTACCCTTACTCTTTTTCAAACTGCTTGTTAGTTTCCATGAAAAATGTAGGTAGGATTTTATTTTTTATTGCCCTGAATTCATAAATTAACTTAGGGTAAACTGATATTTGTAGTTATTTAGGAATGTGGATGTCTTCATAATATTAAGGATTTTAATCCTGGAAAATAATATGGCATTGCACTTTCTTCAGGGCTTTTTGTACTCATCACTTAGTTTTATATAGAGAAAAATTCTTTTACATTTATGGCTGGTAATTACTAAGTATTATTTTGATCATTTTGTTGTATTTTCTAAATTGTTTTTGTATATAGGTATTGAGTTTTAAAAGTTATATCACTTTACTGAACTCTTATTAGTTCTAGTAGTTTTTCTGTTAAAGCTGTTGGATTTTCCAAGTAATCAATTGTTTAATCTACAAATAACGACTTCTGGCTTTTCTTTTTCAATAATTTGCAGCGTTTTCTGCATGCCTACTTAATTTATGAGTAAGCTGAAGATGAAGAGTATATTACATTATTTATTTCCTTTTTTTTTTTGAGACGGAGTCTGGCTCTGTCACCCATGCTGGAATGCGGAGGCCGGATCTCAGCTTACTGCAAGCTCCGCCTCCCAGATTCACGTCATTCTCCTGCCTCAGCCTCCCTAGTAGGTGGGACTACAGGCGCCTGCCACCACGCCTGGCTAATTTTTTGTATTTTTAGTAGAGATGGGGTTTCACTGTGTTAGCTAGGACGGTCTCGATCTCCTGACCTCATGATCTGTCCACCTCAGCCTCCTAAAGTGCTGAGATTAAAGAATGAAATGGTGGATAGTTATCTCATTGCTAGATGTCTCAAAAATTATACACAGTATCATTTTCCAATATGCAGTCCTACTGTTTTAGGTTTGTTTTATTTAATTTCAGAATACCCTCAAATGAACTTTATAAACTAGCCCGAATAGGAAAGAACATTTTGATATCAGAGTGTTTGGATTCCTCAAAAAAAAAAAAAAAGTGGGGAAGGAGTTATTTATTTGAAACAGTTCTTTCATACTTACTTTATATATAGGCACACACATACATGTTTATTTACTTACTAGTACTAGTGAAATTGAGCAATGTTCCAGAATGAATACTATTTAAACCACTGTTTTACAGTCATAAACCTGGACCTATTAGCAGAAGTAGAGAAGTGATAAATATTAATGAATAATTTCCAGTTATGTCTGCCAGTGATTTCCAGGACGCATGAGACCCAGGCCTAGCTAACTCTTATTTTATGTGTAAAGCTTGCTCCTATAGGCATTTTCCATTGCAGTATACTCAACTATCAATGTTTTCCAAAAAACTATAGATATGTGTATGTGTGTGTATATATATTTTGGTCTAGGGTCTTATATTTGAAATATACATTCCTTCTCTTTCGCACTCAAATATGTGAATTTCTGTTTATTCTTCAAGACTCGGGTCAAGTATCTTTGCCTTCACAAAATTCTTTACTTTCTCAGGAAAATTAAAAAAAAATAGTTGGTATATTCTACTTTTATATCAGTTACCACATTTTAAATTGTAAGCTACTAGAAACTATTCCTTCTCCAGTGCCTAGCATGATGTCAAGCATGAGTTTAGAACTCTAAAATATTATTGAATGAATAAATGTGAATAAGCAATTACTAAAAAATATAAAAGGAAGTGAAAGATCAAAAGGGCTGTCTAAGAGAAAGTTATAAGTATGACAATTTGAAAAGAATATTAGGCCAGGTGTAGGGGCTTAAGCTGGTAATCCCAGCACTTTGGGAGGCCAAGATAGGAGGATTGCTTGAGCCTGGGAATTCAAGACCAGCCTGGGCAATATAGTGAGACCTCGCCTCTACAAAAAAATTTTAAAATTTAGCTGAGTATGATGGCATGTGCCTCTAATCCTAGCTACTCAGGAGGCTACAGTAGGAGAATTACTTGAGCCCAAAAAGCAGAAACTACAGTGAACCTACCACTGCACTCCAGCTTGGAGTGCAGAGCAAGACCCTGTCTCAATAAAAAAAAAAAAGAAAAAAAGAAGAAAAGAAAAAGAGAAATATTAGCATGGGAAACATGCTAATATTTATGAAATATTGTGAAAAGAGAAATAAAAGCACCAACCCCATACTATGGAAATGTGCATTTTGATGCAATAAGGTTGACTATGGTGGAGAAACATGATAGAGATCAAATAGGGATCCAAGTGGCACGAGGCTATGAAAACATGTTGAAAGTCAGGAAGAAAAACAGTACCCACTCAGGTACAAATCCTACAAATGACACTATTTTGAAAAGCATATACCATTAGGAGCCACATTACATCTGCTCCTATATATGCATATGTATTCTTGGTTTATAAGTTACCATATGTAGAATACAGGAATTACTTGTTTTCCAATAATATAATGTAAAGTGTCCATAGACCAGCAGGGCCAGCTTTGTAGGAAATAGACATAATTTCTTTAATCTTTGGCCTTCTGTTCTGCCTTCTGTTTTTACTGTATCTTTTTATAAATATTATTTTAAAGGCTAATCCTAGACTGTACGATTTTTGGGAGGACACAGTTTCTTTAGACACAGTTTAGATGCATAATAATTATTGAATTTAATTGAAAATGCCAGTGTTATGTATAATAATTGGACTTGATTAATTATACATGTATTTCTTTCATATATTTCTTCCTGTATTAAGAGAGGGGTTGGACAACTACTTCAGTTCCTTTTAAGATAAACATTTCAGCAGAAATAAGGACAATCAAGTTTCTTATGGCTATATCTGAAGGCCACATTTAGTTGTCTTTTAAATGATGTAGGTAAGAAATAAACAGCTGTCAATATTCTGTTTGCTGTACAGCCCTTGAGCGATATTTTCATAATAATTTCATAGAAAGTTTCAATGATGATTTAACTTAAATGTATATGCAAGTAAAATGAGGGATGACAAACAAGAGCCCAGGACAGTGTTAGAATGGAGATCAGGTTCAGCGATCCTGTGATTGAGATAGTATGATAATACTGACACACTGCTACTTCAGGGCTAGAGGTTTAGTTTGGTTATTTGCTTAGGTAGCTTCAAGATGCTTTACCTTAGTTTTATTGGGAAACAGCAGAGCGTTGCAGCTAATATGGTATATTCTGATTCTATAAAAGACGATAAATATTGCTATTCACATAATGTGTTCTGTGGCTACTTTGTCTCTTAAAAGTGGTACTATCACTTATACATTTTAAAAATTAGTAAGTTACTTTTATACTGACTCAATTTTCCTTTTCTTAACATCCAATTGATTTTAAAGGCAAAACAGTTGTTTAGAAGAAATTCATCACGTGAATGTTTAAACTTACATAGTTTGGAATACTTGGCAGTTTCTTTTTTTCTATATTATCATCTTGTTGGCCTCTTACTACAGGTTTTCAACACATACTCCAATGAAGACTATGACAGGAGAAATGATGAAGTTGACCCTGTGGCTGCTTCAGCTGAGTATGAACTTGAAAAACGTGTAGAAAAGCTGGAACTTTTCCCAGTGGAACTAGAGAAAGGTTCGTGAGTGCTACAGTGTTAATATCATTATGTTACTATGTTAATAATACAGAATTATTTTTCCAAAGTGTAGCCTTTTTTCTAAGGATTGGATAAAATTTTAATTCTCACAGAGGATCTTATATATTAAATTTCAAAAACAGTTGATATGGATTCTGAGTAGATGGTGGATTGAAAGTTTTACTCCCAACTAAAACCCATCTATCTTAGCTGGCTGGGATGGTGGTTAGGACCAGGGAGGTATGAGTGAGGCCTAATGCTTTGTTGGTATTCCTGGAAAGGGCTGCTATAGCTGAGAGCCCAGAAAGGGCTGGTATATGAGAGCTTGGGGCAGATGGTTGTTTTCTTTTGTTTTGGTGGATAATTGGAAAATTATGGAGATTTTTAATGAAGGCAGTAGAATCCAAGGAAATTTTAATAGTAGTGCTACATCCTCTCCATCTCTGAGGGGAGAAGGTTGAAAGAGAGCAGGGAGAAGAGGGAGCAGAAAGGCTTCCTTCTGATTTCTCTCCCTGGACTAACACCCTGCTGACTGTAGTTACTGCTGACCCATGGGATCAGAGATTGCTATGTAAGATGTAAGATGGGCACCCAAGAACTGAACTGTCACTCAGTGAACGGAGAAATAACACCTCTGAGAGATCTTTGAAAACAAAAGAGTAAAACAAACAGATGATAACTTGAATAACAAGAAAAAAAGAAACAAAAACCTACCCAAGGATATTCAAGCATGGTTTAAAAAAAGACATTTGCAAATGATGCCTCTAACAAAGGACTAATATTCAGAATCTATGAGGAACTCAAATACTCAACAACAACAGCAACAACAAAAGAAACCCATTAATAAGTGGGCAAAGGACACGAACAGATGTTTCTTAAAAGAAGACTTACAAGCAGCCAACAAACATGAAAAAACACTCCACATCACTAATCATCAGAGAAATGGAAATCAAAACCACAGTGAGACACCATCTCACACCAGTCAGAATGGCTATTATTAATAAGTCAAAAACAACAGATGTTGGTGAGGATGCAGAGAAGAGGAAATGCTTAGATACTGTTGGCGGAATGTAAATCAGTACAATCTCTGGAAAACAGTGTGGAGATTTCTCAAATAATTGAAAATAGAACTATCATTTGACCAAGCACTCCCACTACTGAATATCTACCCAAAGGAAAAGAAATGATATCAAAAAGAGACTTGTATGTTTAACAGAGCACTATTAAATGGAAATAGTCTTGGAAATAGCAAAGTCATGGAATCAACCTAAGTATTCATCAATAGATGACTGGATAAAGAAAATGGAGCATATATACACTATGGACTACTGTGCAGCTATAAGAAAGAATGAAATCATGTCTTTTGCAGCAACATGGTTGGAGCTGGAGGCCATTATCCCTACATGAAATAACTCAGAAACACAAAATTATTTGCTGCATGTTCTCACTTATGAGTGAGAGCTAAACAATGGGTACACATCAACATACAGAGCAGAGTAATACACACTGGGGACTCCAAAAGGTTACCAGGGTGGGAGGGGGATGGGGCTTGACAAATAACCACTTGTCGTACAATGTGAACTATTCATGTGAAGGTTACACTAAAAGTCCAGACCTCACCACTATGCAATATATCCATATATCACACCTGCACATGCACTCCCCTGAATTTATAAAAATTTTTAAAAAGACATTATTGAGCAACTTAGCAACAAGAACAAATTACTTGATTTTGAAATGAAAAATTTCACCAGGAGAATTGAAAAGGTTAGTTGTTGTTGAGACTTAAGTTGGCAATCTAGAAGATGACGTTTAAGAGATGTTCCAAAAAGAATTCTCAAATGACAGAGCAAAAATCCAAGAAAAGTCATGAAAGAGCCCCAATATATAAGTTGTAGGCAACAGAAGGGGAAAATGACAATGGAGAAGGATAGACTAATAATAATCATACAAGAAAAATTTCTTGTCCTTAAAAAGAAAGATCTGAGGCATATATCAGGAAGAGCTTATCCATTTGTGAGTGAGAAGGCTGAATAACCCCAAACTGATCTCACACTTAGGCATAGCCTGGGAAAAAATCCTAATGTTCAAAGGCAAAGTGAAAAATCTTAAAAAATTCCAGACCAAAAAATACCCAAGCAAATAAACAAGCAAAGATACTTGCAAAGGCAAAATAATTAGACTAGCATCAGACTGCAACACTAGAAGCAGGGAGATGTAGAAATAATTTTACATGCCACTGAGGGTAAAAAGGATGGTGATCCAAGAATTCCATATCCATCCTGGTGAAAGAAAGACATCTGCTGCTATCTAAGGATTTAAAGAACACATTGCCTACATACTTTATCTGAGTAATTTACTGTCCAGTTTAGCAGGGAGGGAGGGAAACAAAGAGCAGCTTGTTCAAAACAGCAAAGGCAAGGAAAAAAGAGGTGAAAACTATTAAGTTTTAAACATACAATTGCTTAAATGAAAAAGTATGACGAATACTAGTCATATTACATCAAACATGACTGATGGATTACTCCTGTTAAAAGACACTTTCATTTGGGGTTAAAGTGAATTAAAGAGTAGTGCTTACATTTTTCATACATTTTTAAATGTAAAAGCCATTCTTAGTTCATGGGCCATACAAACACAACTGGGCCATCATATTACTTATTTTAGTATAGCAAAAAAACGAGAACAATCCAAATATTCATCAGTGGTAGAAAGGGTCTATAAATTGTAGCATACCTAGGCAATAAAATATTACTCAGCAGTGAAAATGGAGGTGCTACAGTTCATGCAGTAGTATGTATGATTCTTAACATGTTATCGAGGGAAAGTAAAAAATAGCAAACCACAGAAGAAGACATTTAGTGTAATATAATTGCATTTACTTACATTTCAAACCAAGAAAATTAAATAGCATATTGTTTTGGGATACACAAAAGAGTAGTTTTTTAAAAGTAGTATTAAAAAGTAGGGAATGATTAACACAATATTTAGTATAATGGTCACTGAGGAAAGAGTCAGGGAGGGATATATAGTGGGCTTTTATGATGTCAGTAATATTCTGTGTCTTTGTACATGGACATTTGTTTTATTTTTATTGTTTAAACGTAATGTTTTGTAGATAAATATTTGCTTAAACTCATTTGTATATTGCCATATTTCGTACAAAAAACTAAACTAGATAAATCAAACTAGAAGATAACCAAATCAAATACAATTATTGGAGATTTCAATATATTTCTTTCAGAACTGGACAAATTTATGGACAGAAAACAAAAATCAAGGAGTGGGTTAATACAATGAACTCTATTTCAAGCTGTATTTTAAGAGAAAAAGTTTTATCCTTTGGAAAAAATTTTAAAAGTTCCTTTAATATGAGAATTTGGAAATTACATAATACATTCCTAGGTAGATATTTGATTTAAGAGAAAATTAAAACTCATATCCCAAACCATCTTGGAAAGGATTAAACTTAAAAAGTCTGTAGCACACAGCAAAACCTTTACTCAGAAGAAAAGCTATATCCTTGATTTCTTTCTTTAAAATAAATAAATTTAAAAAGTAAATAATGGACCTGTTTTAGAAATCAGAAAAAGTAAACCAAATAAACAAACTAGCAAAGAAGAGTAGTATATGTAAAAACAATATTAATAACATAGAAAGGAAAGTCTAGTAAAACAAGGTAATAAAAATCCTTTTCATTGAATACATCTATAAAATATATCAATCATAATACTGAGTGGTGAAAATTGAAAGCAAATTTATGCAAACTAGGAATGGAAGACAAATATATAGTGTTACTAGAAAAGATCAGTCAGTCACTGCATTTCTTTCTCAAATGAGGTGTATGCCCAGAAATAATTTATGTCCTAACAAAATTTGAATTACCAGAATCAACTTTAGTAAAATAGACTAATTGCCATAGAAGAAACGAGAATGGCAACTAAAGATAAAACATTAAAATGTTGTCAGAACTGGATGATTCTATTGTACCTTTAAAGAACACATAAAACCAGTGTTATTTAAACTATTTTAGATCATAGATGATGAAGGAAAACTCTTCATTTCGTTGAAATACCATATAAGTATTACACCCAAAACTAATGTACTACAAAAAAGATTGCTGTGGTACAACTACAATTGTGAACATATATTTTAAAATTCTAAATGAAATAAAATATCAAATATAGAAATAGTTAAAGAGAAAAGGCCAGGTACGGTGGCTCATGCCTCTAATCCCAGCATTTTGGGAGGCCGAGGCGGGCAGATCACAAAATCAGGAGGTTGAGACCATCCTGGCTAACACATGAAACCTCATCTCTACTAAAAATACAAAAAATTAGCCGGGCTTGGTGGCATGCACCTGTAGTCCCAGCTACTCAGGAGGTTGAAGCAGGAGAATCGCTTGAACCCAGGAGGTGGAGGTTGCAGTGAGCCGAGATCATGCCATTGCACTCCAGCTTGGACGACAGAACGAGACTCTGTCTCAAAAAAAAAAAAAAAGAAAGACTCATTAAGATCAAATGGGATTTTAGATACAAGGATCCAGAATGGTTCATTATTCAGAGATTTATCCACATAAAATTTAAAGGAAAAGCCCTTAAATTTTTAAAATTTCATGTCAAATTGATATGAAAAGATGTCAGTTTGGTAACATATACCACTTGAAAGACTCTGTAAATTAGCACGTGATGGAAGCTGCCTAAATTTATGCAAACTGTCAATCTGCAATACAAACAATTCTATTTCTAAATTGAGTAAACACTAAAGATATTTTAATTAAAACCAGAAATCAAATTTGTAATGTCCTTTAAATGAAATGACCAGTATAAATAACAGCAAATAAAAGATGAAAAGCATCAGCTTTTGCTGATATATTCATATCCATATATATCTAGAAAACCAAACTGATTCTAATTTAAAATATTAAATTTGGTAAAATAATTTGTGAAGGAAGAGGTTACATCCAAGATATGTATACAAATCATTTTTTTCTATGTAATCACATTAAGAATTTAGAAATGAAAATGGGAAAAATATTTCATTTGCAGTAGCACCAAAACAACAAAATATTTATTACTAAGAAAAACATGGAATTTATCTAAATAAAGTAATAACATCTTTTTGAAAGACATTTCAATTTGAAAGCAAATTGTAAAACAAACCATATTCTTGGATGAGAAGACTCCAAATAGAACTGCCAACAAAGTTGGGTTGGGAGAGGAGAATTGCAAAAAACAGTATTAAAGTTTTTTGGTAAAATTTAAGTCTGGAGAAATACAGACTTAAGTATGAAAAAGAATATGAATGACTTAATTTACCACATATCTAAATACAATGTAAAGCTTTTGTAATCCAGAACAAATTGTATTCAAATGGCAGTTGATTACTGGAACAAAATAGAAAATCCAGAAAAAGATGTTAGTATGTGTGAGAATTTAATATATGACACCCATGATATTTCAGCTTAGAAGTAATTGTGTGCTTTATAAATTTATAAATTGTTCTTGTATAACTGAGCATCTATCTGGAAGAGTCTAAAGTTGGACACCTTCATTATAGCATAGGTAAAAATAAATAACTCTACATGGGTTAAATAATAAGATATTGAAGATGTCATAAAGAAAATTCACATGACTGCATGTATCATCTAGGCTTGTGGCAGAAGAGGCTTACCCAAAATGGGAAACCAGAAGTTAGAAAATAAGCTTTGTGCTCCATAGTATGACAATAGTGTCTTCCACAATGACATAGTTCCACTGGCTTTGCCATCATTTTATGGCTGTTTTGCCTTAGTGCTTTGCCTGTCCCTAGGAATGTATAGAGAGGAAGACAGGGTGCAGCTAGATTCTTGATGGGGCAGCCACAGGAGTAATAAGTGGCCTTTAAGGATGAGGCTCCAGACTTCACTCATCTTAGAGAAAGCTGTACATAAATAAGATGCTGGAGAACATCAGTCTTCTGGTCTCTGTGCGTTGATTGTGCTCTTTGTTGTATTGCCCTTCAGTCATCACGTTGTCCTTGTAGGTAATTTGCATTAGAATTGAGGATGGCTTAAGTTAATATTGCTTTTTCTGCAACTGGATTTTCAGCTCTGCAGATCTTAGTAATTTTCCAGTTAAAAGCAATGAGAGGAGCAATGGAAGGAAGAAAGAGAATTCTACCAAGATGTGAGTCGAGGCAGAGAAAATGGATTTAGAAACCAAGCAGTAATTTTCACTCAAGATAGTTGCAGGAAGAAATTATTTAATGGTGTGACAGTATGGAGAGTTCACATTTGAGAGGAGCCCTTTGTACAGTAATGAGTATGGGAAAGTTTGACTCACAGCTCTACGTTGGTTTGACATGTGATAAGTTATAATGAAGAGAAACCCTGTGAGTATAATGAAAGTGAGCAAGAATTCAGCAAGACTACCAATACATATATACACCAGAGATTTCATACAGGAGAGAAATTCTGTGGTATTTTTCAGCGTGGGAGAGGCTACTTTGATCGTCTCTTAAACAACACAAGAACAATACACTGAGGGGAAAAACGTACGTGGATGTAAACACTATGGGAAGGCTTTCAGCAATTATTCATCCTTCATCAGTGTGAAAAAAAATTCATTTTCTTGAGAAACCCTATGAATGTGATGAATGTGAATAAGAATTCAGCCATCTGCTAACCTTATACACAGAAGAGAATTCATGGTGGGAGAGAGGAAAACCCTATGCATGTAACCAGTGTGGGAGAGCCTTCAACACACATCTAACCTTCATGTACACAAGAAATCTCATTCTGTGGAGAAATTTTAAAACTATAATGAATGTGGAAAAGTCTTTAACAAGATAAATCCTCTTGATGAAATCAGTCTTTATACCAGATAAACAATTTGAATAAATAGGAGAAATCACATGTATATAAACATTCTAAATGTAATGGATGAGGAAAGTCTTCAGAGATTATTTATGTTAGTCAACATTTAAGTTTTCACACTAAAGAGATACCTATGCCTAGAATCAATGTGGAAGTGCCTTCAGCAGGGGTTTGTATGAGGAAGCTCATCCAGGGGAAACACTGTACAGATTCCTTTAGCATACAGCTGAGCAAACAAATCACACTTTTGCCAAGTGACATCTTTTAAAACGTATATAGAATAAAAATGTAAGATTGTCAGGTGTACTTGGAAATACTTCAGGCATAATCTGGTGGTAAGTAATAATGTATGAGATGAACCTTCATCCAAAGAATACTAATTACAAGAATCCTGACTGGGTATGGTGGCTCATATCCATAATCCCAGCACTTTGGGAGGCTGAGGCAGGAGATTGCTTGAGCCAAGGAGTTTGAGACCAGCCTGGGCAACATGATGAAGCCCTGTCTGTACAAAAAAAAAATACAAAAAATTGCCCAGATGTGATGGCACATGCATATAGTCCCAGCATCTTGGAGGCTGAGGTGGGAGATCACCAGAACCCAGGAGGTTGAGGCTGCAGTGAGCCATGATGACATCACTGCACTCCAGCCTGATCAACAGAGTGAGACCTTGTCTCAGGAAAAAAAAGAAAAGAAAGAAAAAAAGAAAAAATACTTAAGAAAGTAAAGGTTATTGCTGAAAAGTCTTTTAAAAGTGTCATTCTGTTGAGTATATGGACCAGTATTTCTTTAATAATCCAGTGCTGTTGATTAATTAGTATTTTTATGCTACTAGTAAAGCATGATTACAAAGACTTGAGACTATCAGAAAATAACCTTGAACTTTAACTAAAACATGTGGCACACCATATAGTGTACCTTTTATATATTCACAGAAAGGACAAATGGAAATATGGATAAACACGTGATTTGTAAGTGAATTTAAAAAAAAAAACAAAAAACTGTTACACAGTATTGTTCACAGGACCAGTAAAATGGAAACAAAAGTGAGTACCTATGAATACAGAATGTTTGGATACATGATGATGCCATCTCACCATGAAATATTATTCAGTCATTAGAAATAATTTAGAGCTATGAACATTGAGGACATTGATATCCATGACATATCTTTTTTTATTTTTTATTTTTTTTGTCTTTTTTTTAGACAGGGTCTCGCTGTGTTGCCCATGGTGGAGCGCAGTGGCATGATCTCAGCTCACTGCAACCTCTGCCTCCCAGGCTCAGGTGATCCTCCCACCTCAGTCCCCAAACAGCTGGGACTACAGGTGCGCCCCACCATGCCCAGCTAAGTTTTCTATTTGTAGTAGAGACAGGGTTTCACCATGTTGCCCAGGCTGGTCTTGAACTCCTGGGCTCAAGGGATCCTCCCACCTCAGCCTCCCAAAGTGATGGGATTACAGACGTGAGCCACTGTGCCCATATGCTTCATTGGTTTTTAAAAAGTAAGCTGTAAAGAGAAGTAGTTATAATCTCACTTGTGTAAGCAAATAACAAGGAAAAACAAGCTATATATACACACACACACACACGTATATATATTATATATATATATACACACGCACATTCATATATGTCTAAGTGAATATATGGATGTATTATAGTTGTTGATGAGTATATATTCTTGGGTATAGAAGCACAGAGGAAAGTACTCAAATACACATACTATCTTATTTATTTATTTTTTTTTGAGACAGAGTCTCACTCTATTACCCAGGCTGGAGTGCAATGGCACGATCTTGGCTCACTGCAACCTCCGCCTCCTGGGTTCAAACGATTCTCTTGCCTCAGCCTCCAGAGTAGCTGGGACTACAGGTGTCTGCCACCACACCCAGCTAACTTTTTGTATTTTTAGTAGAGACAGGCTTTCACCATGTTGCCCAGGCTGGTCTTGAACTCCTGGCCTCAAGCCATCCACCTGCCTCAGCCTCCCAAAGTTCTGGGATTACCGACGTAAGCCACTGCACCCAGCCACATGTGCTATCTTATTAACATGAATAAACAAGTAAAGAAGAAAATACCATATAAATGAAGGAGGAATTCCAGATACGTTATGATCACATTTATTTAAAATTATATGTTTGAATGTGTGTACTCTTACGCCTAAAATAATTCATTGCATTATTTAGAGAATCTAAGTTTTAAGGCAGAGTGACTATTCAATAACAAAGTTGTTACCTTTTCTTGAGACCACAATGCATTACCAACAGTAGTAGTAAAATGATGCTAAATGCATGGGCCTTTTGGAGGCTCTCATTAGATACCCTTACTGCCTACCTTAGAAAATAATTCTGCTAAATCAAGCATGTTATTCTCCTATCCATAAGGAAAAATAAAATTAGAGACAGCAAATAGTTCTCACCAGCTAATTGCAGACTAGTGTAAAACTTAGGTTGTTTCACCTCCCCGCTTTTTTTCTTTTTAATAGATGAGGATGGTCTTGGTATAAGTATTATTGGAATGGGTGTTGGAGCAGATGCTGGACTTGAAAAGCTGGGAATATTCGTCAAGACGGTAACAGAAGGTGGTGCTGCTCAACGGGATGGCAGGTAAATTAAGGACTGTTGTTAACTTAAAATCTTTAGGGAACTTTCCTGTAAGTTTCTTTCAGTTGTAGCTTTTTGCTTTTGTTTGTTGATTTTTTAGGACAGAATTTCAGGTTTCTCAGATATGAGAAATCTTAAAACACTTAAATTTTTTTCTGATATGCAGGCAAAATATCTGCTTTCTTTAATTTATATTAGGTAAATGAGTGGGTAGATCTATCAGTCTATACCTGTCTTTATCCATTCATCTATCTGGTGGGAAGTGGGCAGAAACATGGGTGTATATAGTTGAGAATGTGTACTATGGAGGTCAGCACATAGTTTCACTTCAGAAATATTGAAAGAAATGATAATAGTTCTGGCATCTTAAAAAATGACACAGGTATATGGTAAGTTAGGGACTTTAATTCTGTATTGTTGGTAATTCTGAAGGTCAGTGTTTCTCCAAATACATTTATGTAAAAACACAGATTCTTGGGTACACCTAAACCAGTAGAATTAACATCTCCAGTAGAGGAGTCTGGCAGTCTGCACCTTGGATAATTCTAGTACACAGCAGAGCATCCAGATAATCACTGTTTTGTCTTAGCTTTCATAATCTCAAGCTCTATCTATCTATCTATCTATCTATCTATCTATCTATCTATCTAGGGCCAAGATTTTGATTAACCCTCATACTTGGCTCTTATATATCAGGGTGGGGCTAGAAGCAGAAGGTGGTGTCTTAGTTTGTTTTGTGCTGCTGTGGCAGAATACCTGAGACTGGGTAATTTATAATGAACAGAAATTTATATGACTCATGGTTCTGGAGGCTGGGAAGTCCAAGATTAAGGGGTGACATCTGATGAGGACCCTGCAGGTGAATCATCCAATGGTAAAAGGTGCAAAGGCCAAGTGAGAGAGAGCAAGAAGGGGCAAAACTTGCTTTTATAACAAATGCATTCTCAAAGAAATAAGTCCACTTCCACGATAGTGACATTAATCTACTTGTGAGGGCAGTGCCCTATGACCTAATCACCTTTTCAAGGTCTCGCCTCTTAACACTGTTGCGTTAAGGATGGTTTTCAACACATAACATTCAACCCATAGCAGTTGGCAATATAATAAAAGTAGACCCAAATGTATGACTGCTAAATTCAAAGAAATATTATGTTGTTTTATGTACATTTAATGAATAGCTTTAAATTTTTTTATGTTTAAGTATGTATCATTTGACCATCTTATCAGGGAATAATAAAGCATGTTGGAAAGACTTTGTGAATGTCTGAGGAGACCCAGAGCAGCATTTTTTTTTTTTTTTTGAGATGGCATCTTGTTGTGTTGCCTAAGCTGGAGTGCAATGGCATGATCTCTGCTCACTGCAATGTCCACTTCCCAGGTTCAAGTGATTCTCCTGCCTCAGCCTTCTGAGTAGCTGGGACCACAGGCGTGGACCACCATGCCCAGCTAATTTTTGTATTTTTAGTGGAAACGGTTTCACCATGTTGGTCAAGATGGCCTTGAACTCCTGACCTCAAGTCACCTCAAGATCCATCTGCCTTGGCCTCCCAAAGTGCTGGGATTACAGGTGCGAGCCACTGCGCCTGGCCCATTGTTTCTGTTTTAATCCTAAAAATGCATATTGATACCCACTGATAGTTCTCAAAGAGAGCTAAATTGATTTATGTAAATAGAAAACCACACCTTATTACATCTTCTTTTCTGTGAGGTTAGGGATAACATCTTAGTCAGTAGCTTTGTTTGTATTCCTATAGCACTTAGTATAATGCTTTGCATAGAGAAGGTTTGAAATAAATCTTTTGAGTGAACATTCAGCTGACTACATTTAAAACAAAGAATGTGGAATATGACTATCTTGTGTCTTAAAGTAACTTACTAACAGTCTTCCTCCTTTTCAGAGTAGTTAAGGAAATAACCTCTTTGTGCCCCTTTAATAAATTATAGATAATGGTGGTAGTATTTCCAGTTATTAATTTACCACCTTTCTTCCAAGAGAGCTAAAACTTGTTTGTAAAATATATCGCATTTCTTATTAAGTTTGATGAAAAATTTAAGATGGTGGGAAATAATGCTATAGTTAGTATTCAAACATGCTTAATTATTATGAACCATCCAGAAAGCCAAATCAAAGTACAACTTGATTAAAAGAACAAAAAATCAGAATATTTTACATTCATAGCCATGTAACACGTGTCCTGAAAGAGAAAAGAAAGAAAAAGAAAATTTTGCACTTAGTAGTTAGCCAATTCCTGTTGTTCTAAACATAGACATAGTTATTTTTCCCTCAATCATTTTAAAATTAGGTTTGTTTTCTATTAATCTATTTACTAATTATTTATTGTTCTACATGGTTTCATTATTTATAACTATATTAGAACTCTGCTTTACCAGTCACAGTGTACATTTATTTCCTCAGTTCTTTTAAATGAGTATTTTCCTAGTATACTAATCCTGTTGTTGTTATAATAGGTGCTTAAAAAATGCCTCAGTGAACATATTAAGACAGGCAACTTGGGCCAGGCAAGGTGGCTCATGCTTGTAATCCCAGCACTTTGGGAAGCTGAGGCAGGTGGATCACCTGAGGTCTGGAGTTCGAGACCAGGCTGGCCAACATGGTGAAACCCCGTCTCTACTAAAAATTCAAAAATTGACTGGGCGTGGTGGTGGGCACCTATAATCCCAGCTACCCAGGAGGCTGAGGCAGGAGAATCGCTTGAATCGAGGAAGTAGAGGTGGCAGTGAGCCAAGATTGTGCCATTGCGCTCCAGCCTAGGGGACAGAATGAGACTCAGTCTCAAAAAAACAGAACAAAACAAAACAAAACTTGATATGATGGAATGGACAGAATCTTGAAGATAATGTAACCAGGAGCCTTCATTCCATTCCCTCTACTTATCTTCTGGGGATATCGAAAAAATTACTTAATTTTCATGTTATCTACATTGTGGGTTGTGGTAAGCATTAACTAAGTTTGTGTGAATAAGCATTAACTAGGTTTGTGTGAATAACCTTCCACAGTGCTATTTGTATATATGAAACTGTTCTTGAACCAAGTAAGAGTAAGCTTGAAACTTAGTTTAAAAAGTAGTTATTATGGGAAAAGCCTCATGGAAAACAATTAAAGGTGTACAACGTAAGTACAGAATCAAAATTTTAGAGGTCACAGAAACTTCAGAGTTCTTATAATCAACACATTTTCTTGTTTATTAATAAGAAAATCGAGGGTGGTTGTATATGTGCATATGTGTGTGGGTATAAGAAAATGAGAAAATAAAATGATTATTATACTTACAACAGATTTATATCTTTTAAATTATTATTTCTACCACTACTGGTGTGCTCATTTGCACAGTGTTTACTGTTTACTGATGTTTACTATTTAAAATGTATCAACATACAAAAATTATACAAAGTGCACTTCCTGTAGTCAATAATACATTTTAAGTTATATATACTTACTGATATAGAAAAATATTCCATTAAGGATTTACAAAATAGTATGATTAATATGATGCCATTCTTGTGTAGGGTATATATTCTATTTCTTCTTTTCTCTGTCTCTGTTCCTTTTTGTCCTTATCTCTCAGTCATTCTCTTTCTGAAAAAGTCTAAAATTAATACATACAAAAATGTTGAACAGCTCTAGTGTATGGATTTAAAAAAATTTTTGGCTGGTATAGAATATCAAATTTTGTAGAGAATATATACGACTTGTGTATAGTTTCTCAAAACTAAAAATGATAAGGTTTCCACCCCAAGGAAATTACTCATCAGACCTCATTTATTGACGGAATTAAAGTTCTGGGTTAGATATTCTGTAAGGTAGTTCCTTTTAGCCTTGAAAGGATAAGATTCTTTATTATTGTTTTCTAGCTGCTTTAGATTCTTAATAACTCTTTCTATTTAAGAAAATTTGTTTCAATTTAATCTCAGATTTATTCATACCTCCTTCAAGGAATGTTAAATGAGCATACATGTATATATAGGACGTTTTTTTCTCCCCCTCCTCCCTCCTTCCTGCCCCCACAAGAAGCTTTTTCATTGTGATTGTTTGTATTCCTGCTTAAATGGCTTGTAAACTCTCACCACATTTTGAGTACTTTAAAAAATCTGCCGTGGATATTTATCCTCCTGAGTTTATCCAGTATAGTTGAAAAGTGTTGACCCTTCATTATTCTTTGATATGATCTCTTACCTTCAAAATTTTCTTTTGTCAAGCTTTTCATGTGTATACTTTCTCCTTTGATGCCTTAAACTTAGAGTGTGCTCAGTAAATATTTGTTGAATGAGTGAATCCTTGTGCTTTAATCACTTTTTATTTTTATTTTTTATTTTTAGAGGCGAGGTCTCACTGTGTTGCCCAGACTGACCTCAACCTCTTGGGCTCAAGTGAACTCTCCACCTCAGCCTCCCAAGTAACTGGGAGTATAAGCGAGTGCCACCATGCGGGGCTTTTAATCACTTTTGAAACCTTTACTTGGGCTTATCATTTTTCTCTGTTTTGTTTTTGTGCTACCTGCCTTTTACGGAGTGGCTTATAATTTAGTTGAATGACATGACAGTCATTTCTATTTCCTGTTTCATTTCTAAATTTTTAGTAAAATAATATTAAATATACTATTAGTTTTTGTTGTCATAAATGTAATTTTTGGGATTGCACACAGGACACTTTCACACACTAGTGATTTTCAAGTCCTCGTTCATGATTCCTTAAAGCAAAATTAGTTTCATAAAAACAACTCAAAATGCTGAATTGTAGAGTAAATCACATGGATGGTAACTGACAAAGGATGTTAATAATGCTGTGCTAAATTAGAGGCAAATAAAAAATCCATTTTGGATCCACTTTGTTTTTGGGTCCTGTTTTTGTTTCACAAGCTTTTGCTCATCATCATTTTCAATCACTGTCCTTTTCAATTTTACTGGAAGAGATACCAAATATGAAATTAAGGTTCTATGTAGTTTATCCTCATTCAAGTATTGATTTTTAAATGATTTTAATT